GACATGAAAATCACAGAGAAACTGAGGGTACAAATGGCGAAAGTATCATCAATCAGTCATATACCTAGAACATGAGGCTCCGTAGATCGATTACTCAGCAAGCAGTTTTTGTCCAATGTGATTTAACAGGCGTTGCCTGGAGCGCAAACCACCGGGACTAGCACGTAACATCCCGTTACGTCCAATTGATGGGTATTAGAAAAAACGAGACGTTTTGTGGCTGAGGTTCTTGGGAGGACGGAATGCTATTTGGATCTATCAGACTGTAGACCTGCAGTGGTATGTGAATAAGTCAACAATTTCACACCTGAAATAAAATTCCACTGCACACCGAAAGACAGATGCATCCCAGTCTCTAACTGTCAATTGTTAGTGCCTAACGCTTCCATACCCGTCTGATGGGCACAAAAGACTCCATGTGAATGAACTTTTCGGGGTCCATCACACTTTCGCTGTGACTTTACTGAAGCTGTTGTAGACGTTTCACATATCGCCTTGCGCATATCGTTCGTGCTATACCAAATACACAAAAGTAGCCAATGATAAAACCATTTCCGAGCGGAAACCAGGTCACGACAGTTGCGGACTGGGCCAATAATTAGGAAAACGGAATATCATTAGGAGACGTGAAATACAGGAACGGGAATTAGCTTCATTGAAAACATGTGCGGGAACGAAGTACATAAGAATGTGATATTTACCGGCTGATATCTCGAACGCTGAAATTTCCAGTGCCAAAAACGGCATGAAGTGCCGATGCTAGAAATATAAACTGGAGTATGATAACCATCTCATCTAGCTGCAAGGAACAGCTTTGTCACTTTCTAGCCCACAGTACATGCGAATGTCTTTATCGTTTGGTCGCCGAAAAACTCTGGCTTCCAGGCGAACTTATGTGCCACAAGGGTTTAGGTTTCCACTGTACCATGTTTGTGACCGTCGAGCACTTGGTCTATTCCGTTGAAAGTGCACCGATAATGTACGGTTGAGACTTACTGGACTCCGTCACTGCTGGAAAAGGCCAAAGTTTTGTTTTTGAAGGCGTGCTCGCTTTGGAGGATGAGACAAAGTTCAGCCGTGAAACATTGACAGTGCATTCTTCTGCTAGAAAACCAAACGCAAGTTCAATTCGCTACGCAGTCTATACCATGTCTGTTTTAATGAAGCGGAGGTTGATATCCAACGATGATTAAAAAGCAGCGCTTGGGGGTTGTTTCTAAATTAACTGTATTACAGGTGTAACGGTGATACTACTGATGTGGGAGGCATGCGAGTAGTATGTTTTCTCGTAAATTCGCTTTGCGTATCATGAAAAGTGAGATCTCTTGAGGAATTTGGGGAGTCGCTTTGTAGCATTTACTTGGAGTTGAGCAACAGTCAACGAATATCCAGAAAATTTCAGAAAGACGCGTTCAATGAGAAGATGGATATTCAACTTTTGTAAACAAGATGCATATGAGAGTTTGGCTTCCCAGTCCACTAGTCTGTAACTGTTCAGTTGGTATTTTCTAATAAATAACTCCGCACCGAAGGCCTTCTTCCCTGCACTGGTAGTTGGGCACAAACGACCTGATTAACACCTACTTCAACGGTTTGGGCGTCCCGTATTTGAAGAAGAACTATCGTTATTGACGGTGGTCAGCCTAGCGAAAGTTAAAGAATGCGGTCTCCAAGGTGATCCCGTGTGATGGCCGTCGGGGCCACAGCGTTTTTCAGTCATACATCCTATGCGTTCCCCTGTTTGTTCACACAGCTGGAGAATTCAGCGGAACTTGATCGAAGGCTTCATTCGGAAATGAACAAGCAGCATAGGTCTTAAGTTGAGATGTGTCTTGCATCGCTGCTTTTGGTAAAGGTAGTTTTTTTCTAAAAAAAATTTACGGGAGTGGAAAGCCTCAAGACCTCCTTAAGACAAACAGATCTACTTAGTGATTTTAGGAAAAAGAGTATGGCTATATATATATAT